AGCTGAGATATAAAAAGTTCACGTTTTCCGACTACAATTTCCTAACAGTAGAATATTGAAAGAACTATTATGAAAGACGTTTTGTTAGCTTATGATAAAAAAATAGGTTATTTAAATTCATTTAAAGGCTTATGGTTAGGATTTTAGTACAATGTTTTAATTTATGTTCGTTGAACTCATGTTCTTTTTATATGAAACGATACAACAATCAACCACAAAGGAAACCATATAAAGAAGAGGAGGTGAGCTTGAAGTCCTGAGCATAAAATTATATGCAGTTATTTTGTAAATTATAAATATATGATTAAATGCAGGTGAATACGCCAACATCTATTTACACTATATAATGAGCTTGTTCAGCTCAAATGTCTTAAATAGGATGAGATATACGTTTTCGATTATAACTCCATTTACAGTGCCATTCGTCAATTGAATATGATATCAACTTCTTATACTATTAATAAAAATAACACCCATCTTTAATGGTAGAAGGTTTTCAGTTCACATAACTGATGTGTATTTAGGTATACTAGGTAATAACCAAAACAATAAGTCGAATTCTAACCTAATCATTCATACCTCGATAATCAAACACTTTCAAAATTGACAAACATTGTGCATAACTATTAAATTTTAAAACCTCTTTATGTCCAAGATTAACATCCTTTAAAATCCATTAAATAATCTAGAGAAATTGTCGTTACCGTGTCATTGAACCCAAAGTCATCTTAATTTCATATGTTCGGATAAATTAACGACTTGAATTCATATGAAGAAAATGTATAATCTTGATTTCACAATATTGAGATCTTTTACAAGTATATTATAGCTGATAATCTGGGGATAGAACACATTAGGAAATAGTAACACTGTTTAAAATACTGGAATTCGAGGCGCACTTTAAGTGACTGCTTCAAGCGAGATGAGAAAATTAATGTCTTGTAACGACCAACTTACAGAATTTTCCAAGTCATAATTTGATAATTATTGAGGTTATTTTGGAGGAATAAGAATTGATATGCACCAAAGCTAATGCCATCATTTAGGATACACTACAACTTACAAATTATTTAAGATCTGTAAATTCAAATACTCAGCTCCCACTTATACTGAGATTATTTTTTATTTTATTTTATTTAAACACATATATATTGGTACAAAAGGGCACCAGATACATATGCGCCACACAAAATAATGAAAGTAAGAAGAGAAAGGATGAAAAGATAACGCGGACTAAAATGTACAACCAGAAGAACTTTCTCAATTAAGAAAGTTAGAACTACTCTTTATGTAGAAAGTAAAAGAAGGTTGCAGCAGGATCGCCATTGGCTTCTATTCTGAGCCATATCTTACAACGCCTCTAGCCACTGTGTTGCACCATCTCTCGGACCCCAGCCAGGGAGTCGTGAAGGACCAACAGCAGCTAGCCCTTTGCAGCTTTCTTTCATGCCACGACACCATGTCATACACTGACCTCCTCTCCGCTTTCTCCAACCAGTCCCAGAGTCGGCAAATAATGCACGGCGTGGAAGTCTCTGGGACGACATTCGTAAAACATGTCCAAGCCACCGAAGTCGGTGTTTCAAGATGGTGACACCAACTGAATTATCGTCTCGGCGCCCGAACACACGATGCCGAACCTCTGCATTACTAACATGGTGTTGCCACTGTATGTCAGCAATTCTTCGGAGACAATGATGATCGAACACAGAGAGACGTCTAACATCCTCAACTCGGAGAGGCCAGGTTTCACAAGCATAGAGCAAAACTGCTCTCACCGACGCGTTGTAGATCCGACCTTTTACAGCCAGACTAACATCACGAAGGCGCCAAAGATGGCACAGATTGGCATAAGCCGCTCTGGCTTTCATTATACGTACATCAATCTCATCACTCACGCCACCACCAGCACTTAAGTAGCTACCTAGATACACGAACTTCTCAACTACTTCAATCTGCTCACCATCCAGGGTGAGTACAGGATGAGAATCCTGCCAGTCTTGTAGGAGTACTTTGCACTTGGAGGGTGCAAAGCACATGCCGTACCTGCGGACACTGATTGCCAACTGATTAAGTCCGGATTGCATGCCTTGGGCATTATCGCACAGTAAGACAATATCATCCGCATACTCGAGGTCGAGAAGTCGTTCTCCAGGCAACGTATCCACACCGCCATTACTTACATTCATCAGAGCTGTTTCTAGGATGTCGTCGATGGCAAAGTTGAAGAGGAATGGTGAGATCGGGCAACCCTGCCTAACCCCACTGCTCGAATGGAACAAGGGAGAAAGGTGGTTGTATGCCCTCACTCTGCCTGAGGTGTTCGTATACAGGGCCTTTAAGATGTTAATGAACTTCTCAGGCACACCCTTCTTCAATAGACAATCCCAGAGAACAGTCCTGTCCAACGAATCGAAGGCAGCCCTGATATCAAGAAACACTACGATTGTTGGCCTGCGATAAGTATGACGGTGTTCTAACATTTGGCGGAGGGTGAAGATGTGATCAATGCATCCTCGACCAGAACGAAAACCAGCCTGCTCCTCGCGAGTCAATCGTTCTCGGGTTTTAAACAACCTACGAAGAATGACAGAAGCCAATAGTTTGGACGCAATCGGAAGTAGACTTATCCCCCGATAGTTGTTACAGGAACAACGTGAACCCTTTTTAAAGATAGGGACGACTATCGACTCATTCCATGATGTTGGAACACTTTCTTGTTCCCAAACCTTTGTAAACAACACCGTCAGTTCCTTAGCCAGAAAGTCACCACCATCTTTAAAAAGAGCCGGAGGTAAGTCATCTGGGCCAGGTGATTTATAACGTTTCAAGAGTTGGAGTTCCTTGCGGACTTCCGCCTCGTTTGGTGGATCAGTCGTCACCGGCCATGGGGGCAGGACAAACTGGTTGATGTTGCCGGAGCAGCAGGCCAGTTGAACTGCCCTTCGAAAAATTCCGCCCATCGTCCAAGACGTCGACAGATGTTAGTGATTGGCATCCCGTCATCCTCGTAGATTGTTTCACTCACACCAGACTTCTTGCTGCCAGTGGCTCGGATGAGTTGGAAGAGCTTCCGGCAGTTACCAGATGCGGCTGCTGCTTCCATCTCATTAGCACGCTCCGACCACCAGGCTTCTCGGTCCTTACGCAAGCTTTGCCCAATTTCATTACGTAACAGCCTTCGTTTGTGGTCAAACTCACAGTCACCCGGAGTAGACCGACGGGCTTCCATCAGTTGTAAGGAGCCAGAAGAAACCCAGTGCTTGTAAGCGGGACGTTTCACGAAGCCGCAAGCGGTTTTACTCGCCATTTTCATGGAGTCGTGAAGATGCAACCAATGCTCATCTATACTTTTCGGTGGGATGGTAGCTAGCCTAGAAGCTAGCTCCGCTCGATACTTACTTACAACAGATGTTGCAGCCAATTTACTAACATCGATCCGTTGGTGGTGGTCAATCCTTCGGCCACTGAAAAGTAAGGTGACATTGGCGCAGACCAGGGCATGATCAGACTCCAGATAGGTACTCCAAAAGGAGCGGCAGTCTTGTACACAACCACGCCAGCGGTAGCTGATCGCGATGTGATCAATCTGAGTCCAGGCTTGGGATGCAGAGGGAGGACGCCAGGTGGCACACCGGCGATGACTGTGCCGGAAGTTAGTGCTGGCCAGAAACAGGTTGTGGTCTGTGCACAGTTGCAGCAAACGGTCCCCGTTATCTGTCCTGCGACCAACAAGTCCCCATCGGCCACTTAAACGACTCTCTTCTGTGCCTAGACGCCCGACTTGAGCATTCAAGTCTCCGGCTAATACTACAATATCTGTCGAACGCGCTTTCTGGAGAAGAACATTTAACTGGTGTTAGAATTCATCATTGATTGCATCCGGGCTGCAATCTGTCGGGGAATAGGCAGAGATGACGAAAAGACACCGATTCTCACGTCGATTTCTTCTCACTTTGATGGAACTTTCTAATCGAACAGCACATAACCGACTGTTAATGGGGATCCAATCGATTAGTGCTGCCTCAGCTCTAGCGCTTAGTGCGATACCAACGCCAGCAAGACCAGACGAAGATGCCACAGGGTCCCCAGATAAGTGCACGTGAAACAAGCTTTTCGAAGCGACAGATGGAGAGCGAATTTGTAGTACTTCACTAGAGTCTTGAATACGGGTCTCGGATAGACAGCAAACATCAACATTAAGACTTTCTAAAGACATAGCCAGTCCCATCTGTTGTCCGATCTGCATTAGTGTGCGAACGTTGAAGGAAGCCAGCTTGAACGGTGTACGCGGTTTCAGAAAAACTTCTTCAGTATTCATAATCGGTGGAAGCATTCACTTTCAACCAGACAGTGACTGGGGATCGTTTAGATAGGACAGAGTTTCCACCATGGGCGAGCTACTGCATAAGTTGGAAAGGAAGGGTACACAATTTGGGAATAAAGGGAGTGAAAAAGCGACGTAGTAAATAATAGTGATAATAATAATAGTAATAACAATAATAATAATGGTAATAATAATGTAAATTGTCTTTCTTCTACTAGGAACGAGAGCAGTGTAGTTAGTGTAGTGCGTCATTTGTGTGTGGGCTGTGATACTACCCGGGTGCCCAAACCGAAGCAGGTGGTTTTCTTAGGAGGCCACACCCCGAGCCTTTGACCTAAAGGTCTGATCCACAAGGCAGTGGAGCATCGTAAGGAGATGCAGTCCCATGGTAGCCGTTGACCAGCAGAAGGTTCATTTGCCATTCGTTCCATCAGGATACTGGAGCCCATGTGCACCATTGGTTGGGAATCAGGGTTTTCCAACTCCCCTAGGTGGACCTTCCGTGTCCACCAACCCGGTTAAAGCGCCGGACATTCGCTTTTCGTCCTCTCACTTTCGTAAACAACACCCCCGCCACGAGAAGGCAGTGAGTAGGACTTCCCTGACAGAGGCTATATATTCGCTGGCCATGTGAGAGCATTTCGAGAGGGAGAGTGGGCTCTCCCCACTCTCGGCCGTACCAGGGCATTTGGGGGCTGAGATTATGATCGACATCAGCAAACTGTCTGAATTTGAAACATACGACCGACTGAATGGTAAGATCTTATTCATAGTCTAAAGGTATTTTTTTAATATGGAGGTGAACGATAAGTAGTTAGGGTTTATACATTTGACTAATTCAATAAAACATGGCTATTTACATGAAGCAAATATTTATTTATGGATAATCTCCAATGTGTTCAAAATAGAAAAAAATGTTACTTGAAATATAATGCAAGTAAACGCTACTTGGATTAGCAAGACCTTAATTAACTGTTTGATAATCCAGGGCATTTTACTGAAGATAACTACGTTGTTTGAACTTAACTGTAAAGTACGTAAAGTCAGAGAGATATAATTTATCACCTGGTTGAAAACTCGTGCAAAATATTGTGATCGAGTAATCAAGTAAATAATGTAAGGTTCGGAACAATGTCTGACTAGGTATCATATCTTGGATTCTCCAATATATCATAAACTTGTAGTAAACGATTATTAATCTTCATCCGTACGTTGATCATCACAGAAGTTCCAACTGGAGTTATTCAGTTTACAAGTTTTGTAAAACTTTCCAAAATAATCTCTCAAATGTCTAGGTTACGATTTTTAGTTACATTTCCTTAGTAAGGTTACACTAAATGAAACATCTAATCCCGAAAATGCGAAAGCACAAAAATTGTAAGCTGAAATCATTATATTAGTATGGTTGATACTTGTATGACAAACAGTATCCAATTATCGGGATACTCAGAAATTTGAATATAATAAGATGAGAAAGGTTTTAAAGTAAACCATCAATGTTTTTGTAAACAGATGATTCGTAAACAAAATTGTGATTAATAGTATAGATAATTAGTGCAAAAAAAATCTGTCTGCTCAGAAAAACGACACCTAATATATCAGTGTTTCACAATTATGGTTGACTTCAACTCAAAAGAGGAACAACGACAATACTGAAGAAACTTAAAGACTAGGAACAATTTAAAAATGTACAGTTGGAGCAAATGAATACAGTAATCTTCAAGACGTTCATATCATAGTTTGATATAATCATTTATTGTTTTGGTACCATATGACAATTTTAGTGCTTCAGACAACCTGGACTGACTTATTGGCGAGTGCAATTTTGATAATCTTGGGATCAAAGTAATGAATAACGAGTTTGAAAGCGTTTAGAACAAATCCATAACGACTGTTTACGTAAGTAAGCAAACGAACTTCGTCAGTGGGAAAAGAAGCCTAAAAAATTAATACATGTAACTAATTCCGGAAGTGATTTGGATATTTATCAAGCTTCAAATAACGGTATTAGCTACATATGCGTGAAATTAGTGTGACAGACTAATTTCCTTCAGTTAAATGTGAGTAATGATATTTGGGAATGATACTAACTACATTCTTATATGGTGAAAGGTGTTTTATAGAAACCTGGAAAAGTAAACAAGTAGCGCAGTAAGTCTACGATGAAACTGATTAAAGCTGAATAAATATAAATTCTGAAAATAGTTTCCCTTAGTTTATTCGTCGAAATTCTTAGTATTCGTAATCTAACGATGGGCACTGGAAATCACACATCAAGACGAATATCTACAGGACTTTTTACTTCTAATTCTTTTTTGATCACAAACAACCTCTGAAAGGTCACCTGTGAAAAAAGCTTTGCTAATATTACAGCACGGTAGTTAGCGATACATTTTTTCCGTCAGTCCACAGAACATGAATAGGCTGTAAAATTAAGTACCCTTTACTATGTCATGTCTATACATAACTAAAGACAGTAAGGAATACTCATCCGAAGAAGAAACATGCAACCCAGAAATATTTCCATAATAGCTCGATTAAATTATACAAATACGGACGTATAATTTCATCATGGACATTGTCGAGGTCCGTGATAAAGTCAACGGATATTTTTTATACAGTAACAGATCTTATGTTATCATATAGATTGAAAGATAAATATGACATGACATTTCGATCATGTTCACCACACGAAAGTATGTAGAGAATAATCCCAAATCATATAACATAATTGGCAGTAGTACAAAAGACTAAGTGAATAAAAAAGCATAAGATTTTGGGACTTAGAATATAAGGAAAAGCATAGTGAATGGACCTGAACCATTGTGGACGATTTCAAGTCGTCACCATAAAACCTTAACTACTGGGCACCAACCAGGCAATTTATACCTATTTACATGGCTCAGTCCAACAGCTAATAACTTCATGAATTGATTCTGTCTTGAATTGGCCTCTTTTAGCTTCTCAGCCTACTCCTACACCATATATTTCCCATCGAGGTAGGCGGTGGCTGAGTATATGAAACATATGTCCCAACCATCACTTAGTGAGGATTCACTACATAATAAACCTCGTAAGTTATACCTAGCCTCACGGTTGATCACTCAGTGATACCAACATACGCCGGCAGTACTTCGAAGACGCCTATGATCAAGTCATAATGACCTACAAATATCCTATACTGAAATTAACATGTTTCATATCCATAAAGTAGAACCTGAACTGCTGCGCAGTAAACTAGTGATTTGGTTAGCAAACGTGCACCTTTTTTGCATCACAAGCGATGAACGTTGATGAGGATGCAGTTTCTGGATAGGCGTCGAGATGTCATATGAAACTAGCAAGCCACGTCTGATGACACTTCCATGATCAACTTACTCAACCGTTTCGCTCTTTGGCTCAGGTATTGACGCACACAGGTCTGGGAGCAAAATGTTGCATTTCGATGAAGAGAAATATATCTCCAACATACCTGTACTGTTGTTCAAGGTCATCCGTAAGTCTTGCACCGTGTCAGTGTCTCTACTAGATAGAACTGTCACCTGAGTATTCCAAGTCAAAAAGTGAATCTCCTTAAATACTTCATTACGATCTGAAGCGTACATTCCTTATTTGTTTATAGCCTGAATGTCTAAATATTTACGAATTTTGTGTGGGAGCTCATTGTACGTAAATAGGAAGATAAAAACTATTAAAGACGATCAATTAGACGTAAATCATTACAGAAAAAGATGCTGCGATGATCAGTTAGTCAACAAGTATAATTAACTGTAGAGAAATATTGATCGTCCTAGAAACCTGAGATTAACAGCGACAACATGGGTCAAGTAACTAGAAGATACACAATTAAGGGGGATGAAATCAATTTGAAAAACAATTTCAAAAAATCGATAGTAGCATCGAAGACATGAATGTGAAATTATATACTAGTAAGTACTATTCTCTTTAACTTAAGTGTACGTATACCTACAAAGCAGATAGGTGCGGGGTGGATTCACGAGCATGTGGTTGGAATTAGAGTTGTCTGTAATACAAACAGATGCAAGACGTTCCTCAACATAATTACTAGTTTTTCTACATATTACCACCACTTTTGAGCTTGAAGTTCGCGAAAGTACTCTCCCATATACTGAAACTAAACATTATAACTGTTGGACCTGGCATTAATGTTTCTTTTGAAATTGGAAGTGGTCATATTAGCGGTGAGAGGAAATATAAAGGACAGAAAACAATACAACAAACGAACACTAGAAATACAACCAACAAAGCAAACTAAAACCGAAGTAGTTTAGAGTTAAACGTATCTTTTTTAATTTAACCACATTTATAGAAACAAATGATAAAAATGTACATTGGTAACCGACTATAGACTGAAGGAAAAGTGATCTTATCCATTTGTTTATGATGAGATAGATGGATTCTTAAATTTTAGACAGTGACCAATTTCCACCAAGTCACTACTAGAAGACAATACATTTTGCGATAGCCATGATTTACTGAAAGATAACATTTGAAACGAAAATATTTCAAAAAGTGTAACAAAACATTTCTTCCAACAAGCAGTACTCCAAAGTTATCACAAAGCATCAGAGAATATTTTATCTATCTTCCTATTTACAAAATGCATGTAAGTGGAAAAATATTTACAGAAAATGTGGAATAAAGAGCTGTTTATTCATTAAATTTAAAGGAACAAGAATCTAAGGAAAGTGAACCTCCGCTGTAAGAACCTCTCTTCTTTTTTGTTTTCTCTTGTTTGAACACTTTTCCACTGGTAAACTTTAAATCGCGATTTGCTTTTTCACCCCACGATCCACGTGCATTCCGCTGAATAAAATATTTGAAAACAAAACGTTATTCAAAGCAGTAGTTTAAAAGTGATGAGGATAATTTTTATCCATACAATTTATGTTGTTGCAACTGAGTAACTAACTAGAGTTCTGCATACTGGTTTGAACCAGATATCAATCGATGAGTATAAATTCTAGTAAATACTTAAGTGAAATGAGTCGAAGCTAAGAACAAACCAACGACTGAACAGATAAATGTTTGGCACATAAGCTACTGAGCTAGTTTGTTGGGTTGCAACGATATGGTTTGCCTACCTAAACTTTAAGCAGTGAATCATGACTTTGAAGTCTACTCTATATCTGTTTAAAAAACTCGAAGCATTCTTCGTACCTTCTTGATACATTGTGGCTCAAAGCCCATTTACATGAAACTCTACAAGATTACAAAGATGTATTAATGATAGAAATAATTTTGGACGTGAAAATAGAGAAATTAAGGCATACTTTCATTCTTCGAGATATTTAACGAATTCTTAACTAATTACCATTCATCTAAATAATAACCATGTAAACGACGAACATAAAAATTAGGGTCCAATTTATTTTTAGTATTACCATGTAATATATCTATTGATTATTGATAATATTCATTAGTTATCCCTAACTCATATGTAATAATATCAAATGCAAGAAACTAATGGTCTGAAATCATATTAAAGTACATTTTGTTTTTCTCGTATTTTTAATCATTTTGTAGCTCACTAGCTATGCGTTCACTACAAATGCTTAATACAATAATTAGAAAACACAAATTTTGAATATGTATAATAAAACTACGAACAGTTTGTTACGGGTCAAACAGCGAAAAACATGTAGACTAAGAAACATCTATCATACATAATCGTGAAAACTAGATTGTCTCTCTAGACAATATTTATCAGCGCATACTAGATTGTTGATCGATGTGAACGAATATTACAGGCGGTCATAAAATAAAAGAAACGACACAACGCGGCATATCATGTTGATAATAGTGGTTATATTATCATAGGCATTTTCATGTTTTTCTCTTATTCACCATACAGTTATTAGAATTTTTCAAGTAATTTTCAATTTCTATGTTGACCATAAACTGAAGCATATTACCAATACTAAAAAGCACTTTGTCTGACATCAGTTACCACTGGTAAAAAACTCACCAGACAGAAAACCTACATAACTTACAAAAAGACTTATGACGTAACGCCACTTGAAAAACAATTACTATCACTGATAGGGTTAGATTGTCACTACACAATAGATTAAAGTAAATAAGCAGTATATCAATGGACAAAACACATACACTTTTACCACTATAAGAACAGCAAGAATTAAACACATACTAAAGATAGAACAAGAGAATCAGGTCAGTAAGAATGATAGAATGATATTCTCGCACGCAGCTAAACTGAAACCTAAAAAGAAAAGTAATCCACACTACAGAAATGCTATTTAAAAACAAAACAAAAAACAGTAACGAAATATTAAATTACCTTGGCCTCAAAAGAATTGTCCCGTAAATTCGGATGGACGAATACATCATTTTCTAACACACGACGGAAAGGACCGCTCGATTCATTGGAAGGCGTGGAAGATACTGACAATTTAGAAAAAGGAACACTACGCCGAGAAGCACCTAATGAGCAATCATCAACAGCAGAACGCACTGAATTCCCCACATCAGCATCAGAGGAACCGACAAATGAGAAACGACGTTTCCGATTGAATCCAGGTTTCGATACATTGAAAGCCCTATTAACACGCGAACTAGTAACAACAAGAGACTCCCTCATCTTCTTAACACCAACAGCCACACCACTAACAGCCTTGCTCACAGACGGAGACGCCTTCACCAACGCAGGCTTCTTACTCGCCGGCTGCTCGTCATCACTAGAATCAGAGTCCGAACTCGACGAAGCGGCCGCAGCTTTCTTCTTCTGTGCAGACTGAGCAGCACCTTGTGGGACAACTCCCATCCCCGTCTTAACACCACTACCAACTACACCAACTGGCTTCTTCCCTGATACAGCATTACCCTCATCACTCGAATCCGAGTCGGAACTCGACGACGCAGGCTTCCCTACCACCTTCTTACCACCAACAGCCACACCACTAACAGCCTTGCTCACAGACGGAGACGCCTTCACCAACGCAGGCTTCTTACTCGCCGGCTGCTCGTCATCACTAGAATCAGAGTCCGAACTCGACGAAGCGGCCGCAGCTTTCTTCTTCTGTGCAGACTGAGCAGCACCTTGTGGGACAACTCCCATCCCCGTCTTAACACCACTACCAACTACACCAACTGGCTTCTTCCCTGATACAGCATTACCCTCATCACTCGAATCCGAGTCGGAACTCGACGACGCAGGCTTCCCTACCACCTTCTTACCACCAACAGCCACACCACTAACAGCCTTGCTCACAGACGGAGACGCCTTCACCAACGCAGGCTTCTTACTCGCCGGCTGCTCGTCATCACTAGAATCAGAGTCCGAACTCGACGAAGCGGCCGCAGCTTTCTTCTTCTGTGCAGACTGAGCAGCACCTTGTGGGACAACTCCCATCCCCGCCTTAACACCACTACCAACTACACCAACTGGCTTCTTCCCTGATACAGCATTACCCTCATCACTCGAATCCGAGTCGGAACTCGACGACGCAGGCTTCCCTACCACCTTCTTACCACCAACAGCCACACCACTAACAGCCTTGCTCACAGACGGAGACGCCTTCACCAACGCAGGCTTCTTACTCGCCGGCTGCTCGTCATCACTAGAATCAGAGTCCGAACTCGACGAAGCGGCCGCAGCTTTCTTCTTCCGTGCAAACTGAGCAGCACCTTGTGGGACAACTCCCATCCCCGTCTTAACACCACTACCAACTACACCAACTGGCTTCTTCCCTGATACAGCATTACCCTCATCACTCGAATCCGAGTCGGAACTCGACGACGCAGGCTTCCCTACCACCTTCTTACCACCAACAGCCACACCACTAACAGCCTTGCTCACAGACGGAGACGCCTTCACCAACGCAGGCTTCTTACTCGCCGGCTGCTCGTCATCACTAGAATCAGAGTCCGAACTCGACGAAGCGGCCGCAGCTTTCTTCTTCTGTGCAGACTGAGCAGCACCTTGTGGGACAACTCCCATCCCCGTCTTAACACCACTACCAACTACACCAACTGGCTTCTTCCCTGATACAGCATTACCCTCATCACTCGAATCCGAGTCGGAACTCGACGACGCAGGCTTCCCTACCACCTTCTTACCACCAACAGCCACACCACTAACAGCCTTGCTCACAGACGGAGACGCCTTCACCAACGCAGGCTTCTTACTCGCCGGCTGCTCGTCATCACTAGAATCAGAGTCCGAACTCGACGAAGCGGCCACAGCTTTCTTCTTCTGTGCAGACTGAGCAGCACCTTGTGGGACAACTCCCATCCCCGTCTTAACACCACTACCAACTACATCAACTGGCTTCTTCCCTGATACAGCATTACCCTCATCACTCGAATCCGAGTCGGAACTCGACGACGCAGGCTTCCCTACCACTTTCTTACCACCAACAGCCACACCACTAACAGCCTTGCTCACAGACGGAGACGCCTTCACCAACGCAGGCTTCTTACTCGCCGGCTGCTCGTCATCACTAGAATCAGAGTCCGAACTCGACGAAGCGGCCGCAGCTTTCTTCTTCTGTGCAGACTGAGCAGCACCTTGTGGGACAACTCCCATCCCCGTCTTAACACCACTACCAACTACACCAACTGGCTTCTTCCCTGATACAGCATTACCCTCGTCACTCGAATCCGAGTCGGAACTCGACGACGCAGGCTTCCCTACCACCTTCTTACCACCAACAGCCACACCACTAACAGCCTTGCTCACAGACGGAGACGCCTTCACCAACGCAGGCTTCTTACTCGCCGGCTGCGCGTCATCACTAGAATCAGAGTCCGAACTCGACGAAGCGGCCACAGCTTTCTTCTTCTGTGCAGACTGAGCAGCACCTTGTGGGACAACTCCCATCCCCGTCTTAACACCACTACCAACTACACCAACTGGCTTCTTCCCTGATACAGCATTACCCTCATCACTCGAATCCGAGTCGGAACTCGACGACGCAGGCTTCCCTACCACCTTCTTACCACCAACAGCCACACCACTAACAGCCTTGCTCACAGACGGAGACGCCTTCACCAACGCAGGCTTCTTACTCGCCGGCTGCTCGTCATCACTAGAATCAGAGTCCGAACTCGACGAAGCGGCCGCAGCTTTCTTCTTCTGTGCAGACTGAGCAGCACCTTGTGGGACAACTCCCATCCCCGTCTTAACACCACTACCAACTACACCAACTGGCTTCTTCCCTGATACAGCATTACCCTCATCACTCGAATCCGAGTCGGAACTCGACGACGCAGGCTTCCCTACCACCTTCTTACCACCAACAGCCACACCACTAACAGCCTTGCTCACAGACGGAGACGCCTTCACCAACGCAGGCTTCTTACTCGCCGGCTGCTCGTCATCACTAGAATCAGAGTCCGAACTCGACGAAGCGGCCGCAGCTTTCTTCTTCTGTGCAGACTGAGCAGCACCTTGTGGGACAACTCCCATCCCCGTCTTAACACCACTACCAACTACACCAACTGGCTTCTTCCCTGATACAGCATTACCCTCATCACTCGAATCCGAGTCGGAACTCGACGACGCAGGCTTCCCTACCACCTTCTTACCACCAACAGCCACACCACTAACAGCCTTGCTCACAGACGGAGACGCCTTCACCAACGCAGGCTTCTTACTCGCCGGCTGCTCGTCATCACTAGAATCAGAGTCCGAACTCGACGAAGCGGCCGCAGCTTTCTTCTTCTGTGCAGACTGAGCAGCACCTTGTGGGACAACTCCCATCCCCGTCTTAACACCACTACCAACTACACCAACTGGCTTCTTCCCTGATACAGCATTACCCTCATCACTCGAATCCGAGTCGGAACTCGACGACGCAGGCTTCCCTACCACCTTCTTACCACCAACAGCCACACCACTAACAGCCTTGCTCACAGACGGAGACGCCTTCACCAACGCAGGCTTCTTACTCGCCGGCTGCTCGTCATCACTAGAATCAGAGTCCGAACTCGACGAAGCGGCCGCAGCTTTCTTCTTCTGTGCAGACTGAGCAGCACCTTGTGGGACAACTCCCATCCCCGTCCTTAACACCACTACCAACTACACCAACTGGCTTCTTCCCTGATACAGCATTACCCTCATCACTCGAATCCGAGTCGGAACTCGACGACGCAGGCTTCCCTACCACCTTCTTACCACCAACAGCCACACCACTAACAGCCTTGCTCACAGACGGAGACGCCTTCACCAACGCAGGCTTCTTACTCGCCGGCTGCTCGTCATCACTAGAATCAGAGTCCGAACTCGACGAAGCGGCCGCAGCTTTCTTCTTCTGTGCAGACTGAGCAGCACCTTGTGGGACAACTCCCATCCCCGTCTTAACACCACTACCAACTACACCAACTGGCTTCTTCCCTGATACAGCATTACCCTCATCACTCGAATCCGAGTCGGAACTCGACGACGCAGGCTTCCCTACCACCTTCTTACCACCAACAGCCACACCACTAACAGCCTTGCTCACAGACGGAGACGCCTTCACCAACGCAGGCTTCTTACTCGCCGGCTGCTCGTCATCACTAGAATCAGAGTCCGAACTCGACGAAGCGGCCGCAGCTTTCTTCTTCTGTGCAGACTGAGCAGCACCTTGTGGGACAACTCCCATCCCCGTCTTAACACCACTACCAACTACACCAACTGGCTTCTTCCCTGATACAGCATTACCCTCATCACTCGAATCCGAGTCGGAACTCGACGACGCAGGCTTCCCTACCACCTTCTTACCACCAACAGCCACACCACTAACAGCCTTGCTCACAGACGGAGACGCCTTCACCAACGCAGGCTTCTTACTCGCCGGCTGCTCGTCATCACTAGAATCAGAGTCCGAACTCGACGAAGCGGCCGCAGCTTTCTTCTTCTGTGCAGACTGAGCAGCACCTTGTGGGACAACTCCCATCCCCGTCTTAACACCACTACCAACTACACCAACTGGCTTCTTCCCTGATACAGCATTACCCTCATCACTCGAATCCGAGTCGGAGCTCGACGACGCAGGCTTCCCTACCACCTTCTTACCACCAACAGCCACACCACTAACAGCCTTGCTCACAGACGGAGACGCCTTCACCAACGCAGGCTTCTTACTCGCCGGCTGCTCGTCATCACTAGAATCAGAGTCCGAACTCGACGAAGCGGCCACAGCTTTCTTCTTCTGTGCAGACTGAGCAGCACCTTGTGGGACAACTCCCATCCCCGCCTTAACACCACTACCAACTACACCAACTGGCTTCTTCCCTGATACAGCATTACCCTCATCACTCGAATCCGAGTCGGAACTCGACGACGCAGGCTTCCCTACCACCTTCTTACCACCAACAGCCACACCACTAACAGCCTTGCTCACAGACGGAGACGCCTTCACCAACGCAGGCTTCTTACTCGCCGGCTGCTCGTCATCACTAGAATCAGAGTCCGAACTCGACGAAGCGGCCGCAGCTTTCTTCTTCTGTGCAGACTGAGCAGCACCTTGTGGGACAACTCCCATCCCCGCCTTAACACCACTACCAACTACACCAACTGGCTTCTTCCCTGATACAGCATTACCCTCATCACTCGAATCCGAGTCGGAACTCGACGACGCAGGCTTCCCTACCACCTTCTTACCACCAACAGCCACACCACTAACAGCCTTGCTCACAGACGGAGACGCCTTCACCAACGCAGGCTTCTTACTCGCCGGCTGCTCGTCATCACTAGAATCAGAGTCCGAACTCGACGAAGCGGCCGCAGCTTTCTTCTTCTGTGCAGACTGAGCAGCACCTTGTGGGACAACTCCCATCCCCGCCTTAACACCACTACCAACTACACCAACTGGCTTCTTCCCTGATACAGCATTACCCTCATCACTCGAATCCGAGCCGGAACTCGACGACGCAGGCTTCCCTACCACCTTCTTACCACCAACAGCCACACCACTAACAGCCTTGCTCACAGACGGAGACGCCTTCACCAACGCAGGCTTCTTACTCGCCGGCTGCTCGTCATCACTAGAATCAGAGTCCGAACTCGACGAAGCGGCCGCAGCTTTCTTCTTCTGTGCAGACTGAGCAGCACCTTGTGGGACAACTCCCATCCCCGTCTTAACACCACTACCAACTACACCAACTGGCTTCTTCCCTGATACAGCATTACCCTCATCACTCGAATCCGAGTCGGAACTCGACGACGCAGGCTTCCCTACCACCTTCTTACCACCAACAGCCACACCACTAACAGCCTTGCTCACAGACGGAGACGCCTTCACCAACGCAGGCTTCTTACTCGCCGGCTGCTCGTCATCACTAGAATCAGAGTCCGAACTCGACGAAGCGGCCAGCAGCTTTCTTCTTCTGTGCAGACTGAGCAGCACCTTGTGGGACAACTCCCATCCCCGTCTTAACACCACTACCAACTACACCAACTGGCTTCTTCCCTGATACAGCATTACCCTCATCACTCGAATCCGAGTCGGAACTCGACGACGCAGGCTTCCCTACCACCTTCTTACCACCAACAGCCACACCACTAACAGCCTTGCTCACAGACGGAGACGCCTTCACCAACGCAGGCTTCTTACTCGCCGGCTGCTCGTCATCACTAGAATCAGAGTCCGAACTCGACGAAGCGGCCGCAGCTTTCTTCTTCTGTGCAGACTGAGCAGCACCTTGTGGGACAACTCCCATCCCCGTCTTAACACCACTACCAACTACACCAACTGGCTTCTTCCCTGATACAGCATTACCCTCATCACTCGAATCCGAGTCGGAACTCGACGACGCAGGCTTCCCTACCACCTTCTTACCACCAACAGCCACACCACTAACAGCCTTGCTCACAGACGGAGACGCCTTCACCAACGCAGGCTTCTTACTCGCCGGCTGCTCGTCATCACTAGAATCAGAGTCCGAACTCGACGAAGCGGCCACAGCTTTCTTCTTCTGTGCAGACTGAGCAGCACCTTGTGGGACAACTCCCATCCCCGCCTTAACACCACTACCAACTACACCAACTGGCTTCTTCCCTGATACAGCATTACCCTCATCACTCGAATCCGAGTCGGAACTCGACGACGCAGGCTTCCCTACCACCTTCTTACCACCAACAGCCACACCACTAACAGCCTTGCTCACAGACGGAGACGCCTTCACCAACGCAGGCTTCTTACTCGCCGGCTGCTCGTCATCACTAGAATCAGAGTCCGAACTCGACGAAGCGGCCGCAGCTTTCTTCTTCTGTGCAGACTGAGCAGCACCTTGTGGGACAACTCCCATCCCCGTCTTAACACCACTACCAACTACACCAACTGGCTTCTTCCCTGATACAGCATTACCCTCATCACTCGAATCCGAGTCGGAACTCGACGACGCAGGCTTCCCTACCACCTTCTTACCACCAACAGCCACACCACTAACAGCCTTGCTCACAGACGGAGACGCCTTCACCAACGCAGGCTTCTTACTCGCCGGCTGCTCGTCATCACTAGAATCAGAGTCCGAACTCGACGAAGCGGCCACAGCTTTCTTCTTCTGTGCAGACTGAGCAGCACCTTGTGGGACAACTCCCATCCCCGCCTTAACACCACTACCAACTACACCAACTGGCTTCTTCCCTGATACAGCATTACCCTCATCACTCGAATCCGAGTCGGAACTCGACGACGCAGGCTTCCCTACCACCTTCTTACCACCAACAGCCACACCACTAACAGCCTTGCTCACAGACGGAGACGCCTTCACCAACGCAGGCTTCTTACTCGCCGGCTGCTCGTCATCACTAGAATCAGAGTCCGAACTCGACGAAGCGGCCGCAGCTTTCTTCTTCTGTGCAGACTGAGCAGCACCTTGTGGGACAACTCCCATCCCCGTCTTAACACCACTACCAACTACACCAACTGGCTTCTTCCCTGATACAGCATTACCCTCATCACTCGAATCCGAGTCGGAACTCGACGACGCAGGCTTCCCTACCACCTTCTTACCACCAACAGCCACACCACTAACAGCCTTGCTCACAGACGGAGACGCCTTCACCAACGCAGGCTTCTTACTCGCCGGCTGCTCGTCATCACTAGAATCAGAGTCCGAACTCGACGAAGCGGCCACAGCTTTCTTCTTCTGTGCAGACTGAGCAGCACCTTGTGGGACAACTCCCATCCCCGCCTTAACACCACTACCAACTACACCAACTGGCTTCTTCCCTGATACAGCATTACCCTCATCACTCGAATCCGAGTCGGAACTCGACGACGCAGGCTTCCCTACCACCTTCTTACCACCAACAGCCACACCACTAACAGCCTTGCTCACAGACGGAGACGCCTTCACCAACGCAGGCTTCTTACTCGCCGGCTGCTCGTCATCACTAGAATCAGAGTCCGAACTCGACGAAGCGGCCGCAGCTTTCTTCTTCTGTGCAGACTGAGCAGCACCTTGTGGGACAACTCCCATCCCCGTCTTAACACCACTACCAACTACACCAACTGGCTTCTTCCCTGATACAGCATTACCCTCATCACTCGAATCCGAGTCGGAACTCGACGACGCAGGCTTCCCTACCACCTTCTTACCACCAACAGCCACACCACTAACAGCCTTGCTCACAGACGGAGACGCCTTCACCAACGCAGGCTTCTTACTCGCCGGCTGCTCGTCATCACTAGAATCAGAGTCCGAACTCGACGAAGCGGCCACAGCTTTCTTCTTCTGTGCAGACTGAGCAGCACCTTGTGGGACAACTCCCATCCCCGTCTTAACACCACTACCAACTACACCAACTGGCTTCTTCCCTGATACAGCATTACCCTCATCACTCGAATCCGAGCCGGAGCTCGACGACGCAGGCTTCCCTACCACCTTCTTACCACCAACAGCCACACCACTAACAGCCTTGCTCACAGACGGAGACGCCTTCACCAACGCAGGCTTCTTACTCGCCGGCTGCTCGTCATCACTAGAATCAGAGTCCGAACTCGACGAAGCGGCCGCAGCTTTCTTCTTCTGTGCAGACTGAGCAGCACCTTGTGGGACAACTCCCATCCCCGTCTTAACACCACTACCAACTACACCAACTGGCTTCTTCCCTGATACAGCATTACCCTCATCACTCGAATCCGAGTCGGAACTCGACGACGCAGGCTTCCCTACCACCTTCTTACCACCAACAGCCACACCACTAACAGCCTTGCTCACAGACGGAGACGCCTTCACCAACGCAGGCTTCTTACTCGCCGGCTGCTCGTCATCACTAGAATCAGAGTCCGAACTCAACGAAGCGGCCACAGCTTTCTTCTTCTGTGCAGACTGAGCAGCACCTTGTGGGACAACTCCCATCCCCGTCTTAACACCACTACCAACTACACCAACTGGCTTCTTCCCTGATACAGCATTACCCTCATCACTCGAATCCGAGTCGGAACTCGACGACGCAGGCTTCCCTACCACCTTCTTACCACCAACAGCCACACCACTAACAGCCTTGCTCACAGACGGAGACGCCTTCACCAACGCAGGCTTCTTACTCGCCGGCTGCTCGTCATCACTAGAATCAGAGTCCGAACTCGACGAAGCGGCCGCAGCTTTCTTCTTCTGTGCAAACTGAGCAGCACCTTGTGGGACAACTCCCATCCCCGTCTTAACACCACTACCAACTACACCAACTGGCTTCTTCCCTGATACAGCATTACCCTCATCACTCGAATCCGAGTCGGAACTCGACGACGCAGGCTTCCCTACCACCTTCTTACCACCAACAGCCACACCACTAACAGCCTTGCTCACAGACGGAGACGCCTTCACCAACGCAGGCTTCTTACTCGCCGGCTGCTCGTCATCACTAGAATCAGAGTCCGAACTCGACGAAGCGGCCGCA